GTACGAAGAAGGCACGCCCGTAACCGAAATTAGAGGACGTTTAAGCGAACTAGATGACGAGTTTCCCGCGTTTAACAAAGCCCAATCCGAAATAGACCACTTAGACGATGGACGCTTGATTCGGGAACGCATCGGAATGAAACTAGCTTTGAGTGCATATAGAGCCCGCGCGGTAGATATAATCAATCGAACTCCGCACGCAGGAGACGCGCGAAATGTACGCGGAACGCCGCAGTCACACTCAGATTCAGTAGAAGCCGACGTAATGCTGCCGCGAATCAATTTACCCACGTTCTCGGGCTCCTACGAGGAGTGGCCGGGATTCGCAAACCAATTCAGAACGACCATCCACGAAAATTCGCGCGTCGATGATTGCAAAAAACTAATGTACCTGCGATCGTGCTTAAAGCAGGAAGCTGCGAAGACAATAGAATCACTGAGTAATTCGTCCAGCAATTACGCCATAGCTTGGAACATATTAGAAAGACGTTACAATCAACCCGCAATAATCGTCGCGAATCATGTTAAATCTCTGTTCGATATGCCTCATATGACAAGGCCCTCATATCATGATCTCCGTTCATTTTTAAATCACGCGGAAGCTCATTACCATGCACTGCAAACGCTCGAACAGCCCACAACCGACACTCTGCTCATTTATCTTTTCACCTCAAAGTTGGATCGTGAAACCGCGCTGAAATGGAAGGAGCACACTCAACACATCGTGTTTCCTATGCTCGACGCATTCTTTACCTTCTTACACGAGCGATGTCAGCTTCTCGAGCCGATCGGACCGTCGAATGCGCAATCGGTATATAAAGCAAACCCGACGTCACCTCCAGTTCGTCATACCGCGCCGATTCCATACGCCCTAAGAAATCAGCCTCGCGAGCCGCGTCCAGTCATACAACGCGCATTCGCCACAATACCCGGGGCAATCTGCACGGTGTGCAAAGGCGGACATTTCGCACAGTATTGCGAAAAACTTAAAGCATTATCAGTCACAGACAGATTAAAATTGGTAAGGGAAAACAATTTATGTTCCAATTGTCTGCGGAACACGCACACTTTAAACGACTGCCAAGCGTCGACATGCAAGCATTGCCATAAACGACATCACACTCTACTACACGCGGAAGACGAGACATCGAGATCACCAATTCAGGCAAACACAACGTCTTACTCACACACCTCCACGCCACATGTATTTTTATCCACCGCGATCATCAATATTCATGACCATCAGGGGAATGCACACACGTGCAAGGTCCTATTAGATTCCGGATCGCAAGCTCACTTATTGAGCGAAAAAATGTATAACGCGCTCAAACTAAAAACACAAATGGTCTCGATACCGCTGAACGGGACAAACAATATGACGTCACACATTAAACACATGACCACTGCGCGAATCAACTCTCGAGACGGCACCTACACCAACGAACTACCCTTTCTAATCGTAAAGAACATTGCTGATTCCATTGTGAAAGCTCCCTTAGACATCGAAAACATACGAATACCCTCACACCTGCGTCTCGCTGATTCAGAATTTCATCAGGTTACAAAGATAGACGGTCTCATTGGGGCTATTAACCGGGAAAATTACATTACCTAAGAATAAAATAACACTTCGGAACACCAAGTTCGGCTGGATCGTAACCGGCGAAATTCCGAGCAACAACGAAACCCACCGCCCGATATGTAATTTAACACTACAGTCACGTGAAACTGATATACAAAAATTCTGGACCATTGAGGAGTGCGCCACAACAACAATTTATCACCCGACGAGCAAATATACGAAACGCTATACCAAACTCAGACTAAACGCAACATCGACGGGAGGTACACCGTCAAATTACCATTTAAAGAGAATTTACCCAAACTCGCGACGTAGGCCCACTCACGGTCAGCGAGCTTCGCAAAGCCAGCAACACGATCATCAAAATAGTGACCCGAAGCGTTTCCCGAACTTTACAATAACGCAAGCAACCCGACAATTCTTAAACCCGGCAAACTATTGCCATTGAGTCCATTTCTCGACAAGGAGGAAATTATAAGGGTCGGAGGTAGATTAGCAAACGCGGACATTCCCTTCGAAGCCAAGCACCCCGCTGTATTACCAAACAAACACCACATAACAGTCATCATAATTCGCGATAGCCATATAAAACACGGGCACAGTGGCACACAGGGTACATTGAGCGCAGTTCGACAAACCTTCTGGCCGATCAACGGCAAGGTGGCAGTCAAAAGAATCATTAAGCATCATCATGTCACAAATTAGACTCCGCAGTCCCCCAATACCCCTTAGGCCAACTGCCGAAAAATCGAATTACCTTTACAAGACCGTTTCTCGTGGTAGGCGTCGATTATTGCGGGCCATTCCACATTAAAGAGAAAAAGCTCCGAAATACAAAAACCATTAAAGCATACGCAGCGATCTTCGTCTGCTTTAGCACGAAAGCAGTACACATCAAGTTAGTGAGCGATCTAACGTCCGATGCGTTTCTCGCGGCTCTCAAGCGATTCATGGCGCGGCGCGGGAAATGCTCCGATATCTATTCAGACAACGCCACCACGTTCGCCGGGGCCAAAAATGAATTAGACCGAACCATTTCCACGTTAACAAAGGATAAACAATTCCATCAATATTTAACAACAAGTCAAATCCAATGGCACTTCATTCCGCCCAGAGCTCCACATTTCGGTGGACTTTGGGAAGCAGCCGTCAAATCCTGCAAATATCATTTAATTCGCATAATGGGGACTCGCCTCTTCACCTTCGAAGAATTGGCCACGTGTTTGATACAGATCGAGGGCATCTTAAATTCACGTCCACTCACTCCTTTATCCCCCGATCCAAACGACCTTACCCCACTCACCTCCGGGCACTTCCTGATAGGTGACTCGCTAACGAGCACACCTGAGTGCGATCTTACTAAGTTAAAAGCAGGTCGACTCTCCTCGTGGCAACACATCCAACAAATCAGGCACCATTTCTGGAAACGATAGTACAAGGAGTACTTAAACGAAATCACCGTACGACGGAAGTGGCACACCGGCATCAACTACCAAATAAAAAAGGGGATGTTGGTCATCTTAAAGGAGGACAACACCCCCCCGCTTCATTGGCCCATGGGACGCATCACGGCACTGCACCCAGGGGAGGACGGTATCGTACGCGTCGTAACCATCCGAACGACAAGCGGCGAGTACAAACGCAGCGTAAAAAAAATAGCCCCCTTACCAATTACGGAAGCGAACCACAATCCCGAACAAAACACTGACTAACAACTTGTCGCCTTGTACATAACGCGACAAGAACCCATTAGAATAAATAGATCACTATAAACCAGTGGCGGATTTAAGGAAAAAGGCCCAGGTGGCAAACGTCCTGAGGGGCCCATTTTTCGGGAAAAATGAAGAAATAGTTTACTAAAAACGGGCTAAGTGTAGTAGTACAGATGTAATTATATTACTATGTAGTTTTATACATGTTTATACATGATACTTATTATGTAGTTTTAAATCCTCGCCTTGCTTTCTATTCAGCAAATATTTCGATTGTCGAATACAAATCAATTTTATTCGCAACTGCTTTTTCGATATAAAGAATACTGAAGTCATTAAGGGTTTCCTCAGCTAGAGTGGCACGGCGATATTCTTTGATTCTTTTCAAAGAGCTCATGCCCCTTTCGGCGCTCGCTGTGGTAACTGGTAATGTTAGGTACAATCTGAACAGACTACAGCACTCCGGAAAGCTGTCCATCAAATTATGTTTCACAATAAATCCCAAATATTGCAAAGGACTGCCATTTGAAGAATCATGCTGTTACGCGAAATACAAATCAGCGAAACTGGACAATTCATGTTTGAGATCAGTTGTAAAGAAATCAGTATATTTCTCTAACAAAATACTTGTGCTGGTCTCAAAATCACTTGGTTTCATGCTGTGCAGTATTTCAGGCATTAAAAAACCAAAAACGTTATTAATCTCTTTGAAACCGTTTGCACGATCCTGTAATTCGCAACACATTGTATCGAGAACTTCGTAATACCTGGCTCGATGCTTGTCAGGCGTCTCTAAAACACAGTGTTTTCGTACGCTTCGCGAACGACCGATGTCTCAGAGTCGTCGAAGGTTGTAAAGCTTCGACTCTAGGTTTCTAGAATTCGCGAATCCGTACTTCTCTAACCGTGTTACGGGATAGAGATGGTAAGTTGAAAAATCTACGAGATGCGTTTGACTGCACGATTGATTCAAGAGTGAGGCGATCTTTCCGGAGCCCGTTCCTCCTCAGCTCAAAACCCCCTCCGACACACTATTTTGAGGGTGTTAACTGATTTTTGCGTTGACCTTGTGATTCGATTGATTGGCCATCGACTTGGGGAAGGAGGATCCACTTTCCTGCCCCGAGTGGGAGGAAAACTCCTCCCTCACACCCAACCGTGGTGAAGGAGGAATCCCAGGTCACCCTGGAAGAGGGTGACCGCGGTGTCCTCCCCAAGTCGAAGGCCGCGGTAATTTTGCTTAGGAAAAGAAAAAAACGGGACTCCGGATTAGGAAGCGCTGAGTTTCCGCACGTGTTGTACAGCTGTTTTATGGCTATATTGTTCCACGGGTTGGCAATGGTCGTTGCCGGTCGGCCGACGTTGGCCTCGAAGACCGGACCACCCGCGGAACAATATAGCTCTTCGCTGGTCAACTCAGGTCTAGTATTTTCGTTCGACGAGGCAATTCGATTACTTTACGATGACATTTGCCAGATGCGGAATATTCGAAGACTTTTCGACTGAATCACGGTTCCGCATCTGGCACCATAAAGAGCGGAAAAACCCGAGTTGACCGGGCGGAACATGCTCCCCCCGTTGAGAGGGTACCGATCAACCTTAAAATAATGACACGTAGTTAATTAAATTGTTAATAAAATGATGAGTGTTCAAATGCGGGTATTGATCCGCGTTTGATAATGTGGAACGGAGGTGATCGCTGGATGCTACTGGTTGCATGATGTCTGCTCGCTGGCGGATGGATGCTCGCTGGCGGATGGTTGCTCACTGTTGTCGTCCTTATCTACTTGCATGGGCAGCGGTACCAATTTCCGAACGTTCCGCTCGAGAACGGTGGTGGCAGTCTTCACCGTGGCCACGCGAACTATGCCGTCGGCGCCTGGATGGACCTTGACCACTCTGCCGAGAGGCCATTGCATCGAGGATACATTGTCTTCTCTCAGGAGGACGATGGTGCCCTTCTTGATGGTAGGTGAGGAGCTGGTCCATTTGCTTCGGGTGGTCAGCTCGTTGAGGTATTCGCGATGCCATCTAGTCCAGAAGTGCTGCTTAACCTTCTGTATTTGTTGCCAGCTGGAGAGGCGGTTGGTTGAGGTGTCCCTGAAATCTCGCTCACGCACACAGGTTAATGAATCGCCGATCAGGAAATGGCCGGGGGTGAGGACGAGGAGGTCATTAGGATCTGATGATATGGGAGTTAGAGGACGAGAGTTTAGGATGGATTCAATTTCTGTAATTAAGGTGTTAAATTTTTCAAAGGTAAAGAGTTCTGCCCCTGCGACGCGTTTTAAGTGATACTTGAATGATTTTACCGCGGCTTCCCATAAGCCACCAAAGTGTGGGCTACGCGGTGGGATGAAGTGCCAGTCGATGGCTTGGTCTGTAAGAAAATGTTGAACCTTCTCGTGATGGTCGTCTGATTGGAGGAGTTCGCGAAGTTCACGCAATTCGTTGTTTGCCCCAACGAAATTTGTTCCGTTGTCAGAGTATAGGTTGCTGCAAAAACCCCTTCTCGCGATGAAGCGTCGAAGTGCCGCGATAAAAGCTTCAGTCGTCAAATCACTCACAACTTCCAGATGTACTGCCTTGAGTTGCGAGGCAAACAAAAACAGCCACATAGACCTTCACACGCTTGCGATTTCGATGATTTCTTTCCTTGATAAAGAACGGTCCACAGTAATCGACCCCGGTGTTCGTAAATGGACGGGTTTCTGTGACTCTCGCCTTCGGTAGGTCACCCATGATGTACTCCACAGGAGGTGGGTGAGCTCGACAGCAGCGTGCACAATGTTTCAGTGTTTGCCATACCTGGCTTCTACCGTCTATGGGCCAATATTTTATTCTAACTGCATACAGAGTGGCTTGCACGCCTGCATGCAGTTGAGCGCGATGCTCGCTTTCGATTATTAGTCTGGTTGTATTTGTTTTGGGCAGTATGATCGGGTGTTTCTGATGGAATGGCATTGGAGAATGCTTTAATCGACCGCCGACCCGTAATATTCCATTTTGATCCACGAACGGGCTTAGACGTTGAAGCTTGCCTTTAATTGTGTGGGTTCGATTGTTCCTGATTTGTTGAAGTTCCTTGGTAAAATGTAACCGTTGGATGAGTTTGATGATGACATTGTGTACGTAATTGATCTCTGTTGATGTAAGAGGGCCCTTCGTGGTGCTGATCCGCCTCCATCGGAGACAGCGGGCGGTGATCCGACGCATTTTTTCCCATGACGAGTATCTTTCTAGGATAGGGATATCCACATGAGTAGTGGTCAGACACAAGATGGCCTTCTGCTCGGGAAGAACGCTCGGGATGGTCATCTCCCACGTTGGCCAATGAGTTTCGTCTTTGCAAAGCCATTCTGGTCCATACGTCCAAATGGATGGGCGGAGGAATTCCTCTGGAGACTGGCCTCGGGATATGAGATCAGCTGGATTGTCGTTCGTAGGGACATGTCGCCAGTTCGCGATGTTGGTTTTATTTTGTATTTCTGACACCCTATTCGCGACAAAGGTTTTCAACAGATGGGGAGAGGATTCCAACCAGTGAAGGACAATTGTGGAATCGGTCCAGAAGATGGTGCGATCGACAGTTATGTGTAATGCTCGTTGCACCGTTGTTGCTAGAGAAGATAAAAGAAGGGCTCCGCAGAGTTCGAGACGTGGGATGGTTTGTGTTTTCAATGGAGCTACTTTGGATTTTGCGATGAGGATGTTCGTTCGGACATTTCCATTGGCGTCGACTGACCGGAGGTAGAGGCAAGCACCATAGGCCCTCTCGCTGGCATCGCAGAATCCATGTAGTTCGGTCTTGATCGCGGAGTCGATAACGGTCTTTCTATTGAAAGTTATATTGTTCAGCACAGGTAACTGTCTATAATATTGCATCCATTCGGTGTGAATGGACATAGGTAGGGATTCATCCCAATCGATCTTCATGGTCCAAATCTTCTGAAGCATGATCTTGGCCGTGATGATAACGGGCGCCAGGAGGCCTAATGGATCGTAGATTCGAGCTGTTTCCGAACTAATAGATCGTTTGGTAACGTGATGCGTGGAGGACAGGGTTTTAACCGAATACGCGATGGAGTCGTCTGAAGAGTTCCAGACGATCCCGAGAGTTTTGAATGTGTCTGATTCCCCGAGATGGAGTTGCTTGTTGATGGCCTGGGTTGACAAGCCCTGCAGTAGAGATCTGTCATTTGATGCCCACTGTCGGACGTGTAACCCTGCAGATTTTAGGACCTGTGTGAGCTCGTCTCTTATGTGGAGAGTTTCTTGTACTGTCGATGCTCCAGTAAGTGCATCATCCACATAAAAGTCGCAAGTAAGAATTTTTGATGCGAGCGGAAATCGGTGGCCTTCGTCACGGGCGAGCTGAGTCAGACAACGAATGGCGAGATAGGGAGCAGCAGACAATCCGAATGTGACTGTGTTCAATTGGTAGGTGTTGATTTTCCCGGACGAGTCACGCCAAAGAATGCGCTGGTATTTTCGGTCTTCTTGACGAACGAAGAATTGTCGATACATTTTTTCGATGTCGCCTGTGAGCACATAGCGGTGTATCCGAAAACGTAACAGGATGTATAGAAGATCATCTTGGATTTTTGGACCGGTGTACAATGTATCGTTGAGAGAAATTCCTGCAGTTGTGGTTGCTGATGCGTCGAATACTACTCTTAATTTTGTTGTCTGACTTGTAAATTTTGTGACTCCGTGGTGGGGCAAATAATAACAATTGTGTGTTAAAAGCTGATCATTCGGAATTTTCGACATGTGCCCGAGATCGAGATATTCTTGGATGACCGCATGATAGGCATGTTTCAGACTCGGGTCTCGTTGTAGTTTCCGTTCGAGAGATAAAAATCTCTTGAGGGCTCCTGATTTGGATTCCCCCAATTGGTTTTGCTGTTGGTTGAAAGGGAGAGCTACCACATATCTGCCGTCGGTGGTGCGAATGGTGTTTTCTTTGAAATGTGCCTCGCACATACTGTCTGCGTCGGACAGATGTGAGGCTTGAGGTCCTTCTTCAATTTCCCAGAAACGGGCGAGATCAAATTGAAGAGTGGCGGATGTGTGGCATGAAGAGCCACGGACTGGGCGCTCAGATGGTGCGCTTCCTCCGATGACCCAGCCCAGTCTCGTCTTCTGCAGATACAAGTCTGGACCCGCGGGGGATGATAGATTTACCTGGCCGACACTTAATAGCGAGAGGGCCACTCCAGCACCAAGTAGAAGGTCGACTGGAGCTGGACTGTGAAAGGCGGGGTCCGCGAGCTTGATGTTTCGCGGGATCATAATGGCTGAACGATCAATGGGCTGATCAGGAAGAGACGATGAAATGCACGGAATGGTGAGAAAAGTTAGTGCGCGTTGATAGGTGCGATCTTTCGACTGGATGGTGGTAGCAACAGATCGTTTCGCTATTGTTGACAAGACGTTAAGGACTCCAATGGGAATGCAGCAGTTATTGTATGGAATCTTGAGTTTTTTAGCCAAGTCATCGGTGATGAAATTGGTTGTGGCACACGTGTCGATGAGTGCACGACAAGCGATGGGTTATTGATTTTTGTCGAGAATTTGGAGTTGAGCGGTCACAAGGAGTTCGTTCGTGATTGAGTTGACGATGAATGCATTCTGTTTTGCCGTGCGTGAATCTAGTCATGTGGATGTTGAAGGCAATGATTTTATCGAGGCTGCTGGTTCGTAGCGCGGAAGTGAATGTTCATGGGGCCCGTGTTGCTCGCTTTGATGGAGCAATGTGTTGTGTCGTTTGTGGCAGATACGGCATGAACCTCGATCACACGTTTTGTAATCGTGTCCCCTTCGCAAGCAATTCGTGCACAGCGAAGCCCTTTCGATGGTGGCTATTCGTCGCTGTATGGGTTGTGATCGTAGAGTCTCACATGTCCAGACTGGATGTTCCTCGTTGCAAACTGCGCATTGAGGATTTTTTCTGGTAGCGGACGCGGTTTCTTGATTACAAGTCGAATGTGATTGGATTTCGGTGGTTAGAAAGGCGTGATTCCGTGAGATTTGATGTTTTCTATTCTCAAAAGGGTTATTCTGACGTGAAAACGATGTTGACGGCTTGGTAATGGATGCTGGACTGCAATTCGCGCGTTTCTCTAAAAAGTCCAACAATCGGGTGTATGACGGCATTTTCTTATCCTTTAACGTCAATTCCCAGTGCCACGCGGTGTCGGTATCTATTTTCGAGAGGATGATCGCATTCAACACGGTGTTCCAGGACTCAATGGGTTCGCTTAAATTCTTTAGGGCGCGAAGATGTTGATTAATGGCGTCGACAAAATTTCCTAAGTCGCTCGGCGCATTCTTAGTTATCTTGGGGAGGTCCTGTATCGCGTTGAAATGGCTTAGTAAGATCCGTCGCGGACAGTGGAATTTCTCCTTTAGGATTTCAATTGCGTCTACGTAATTGCTATCTGTCGTGTTCAATGATTGGATGCACGCGGCAGCCTTTCCCGTTAACGTGGATCGCAAGTACTGTAATTTCTGAACCGGCGTTAAATTCTCGTTACGGTCTATCATAGATGCAAAGATGTCGTAGAATGAGGTCCATTTTTCCAGGTCTCCATCGAAAGTTGGTAGACGCATTTCCGGCAATTTGATGGCCATCGGGACTATAACGTTTGACGCGTTGGATTCTGTGGTGTTTCGTCGCGCGGGCGCTGTCGGGTGTTGCGTATCGAGAAGCATGGATGCCCGTGTTATCGTCGCGTAATATTCGCCTTGAATTTCGTAACGACGCGGTTCCTCGGATTCGTCGAGTTCTTCTAATTGGAATTGAATATCGTCGAATTTTTTCCACGTTTCGTTTAGGCCGCTTAAATGAGTTTAAAGTAGAAGGAAATTCCGTTGAGTTGACTGTTCGAATTCGTCAAGGAATTTAGTAAATGCGGTAATTTGTTCGATAACGCTACCGCGTTTGCGTCGCAAGGTACTGGCAGTGATACCGTGGGCAGCAGAATGACTGGAGTGCTGACCGGAAGTGTTTGGCATTGTGAAATATAGAGGGTGGTGAGATGGGGATTGATCGATCGATTCAATAAACTTGTGAACCTACCTGAGCGAGGAAGTCAAGGACGATGAGTCCGCACGATGTCCAATTCGTTGATTACTCTAGTTGCTGCTTCAAGTTGCCGTCGGAGCGACAGCGTTGTAGACAAGTGTGGATCTGATCAGATTCTGCGTCTTGATTCAGCACTGATTTAATATTAATGTTCATGGCACTGGCACTATCACTGTATTGTCCACTGTCTCTGAATCCGGCTCGAAGGACCAATGTTTTCGTACGCTTCGCGAACGACCGATGTCTCAGAGTCGTCGAAGGTTGTAAAGCTTCGACTCTAGGTTTCTAGAATTCGCGAATCCGTACTTCTCTAACCGTGTTACGGGATAGAGATGGTAAGTTGAAAAATCTACGAGATGCGTTTGACTGCACGATTGATTCAAGAGTGAGGCGATCTTTCCGGAGCCCGTTCCTCCTCAGCTTAACACCCCCTCCGACACACTATTTTGAGGGTGTTAACTGATTTTTGCGTTGACCTTGTGATTCGATTGATTGGCCATCGACTTGGGGAAGGAGGATCCACTTTCCTGCCCCGAGTGGGAGGAAAACTCCTCCCTCACACCCAACCGGGGTGAAAGAGGAGTCCCAGGTCACCCTGGAAGAGGGTGACCGCGGTGTCCTCCCCAAGTCGAAGGCCGCGGTAATTTTGCTTAGGAAAAGAAAAAACGGGACTCCGGATTAGGAAGCGCTGAGTTTCCGCACGTGTTGTACAGCTGTTTTATGGCTATATTGTTCCACGGGTTGGCAATGGTCGTTGCCGGTCGGCCGACGTTGGCCTCGAAGACCGGACCACCCGCGGAACAATATAGCTCTTCGCTGGTCAACTCAGGTCTAGTATTTTCGTTCGACGAGGCAATTCGATTACTTTACGATGACATTTGCCAGATGCGGAATATTCGAAGACTTTTCGACTGAATCACGGTTCCGCATCTGGCACCATAAAGAGCGGAAAAACCCGAGTTGACCGGGCGGAACACACAGTCAACGCTATTTTCACCAGGCATTTTCTTAATTTTCCGTTTTCTTGCAACTGGAAAATCAGCACGTTCCAAGCTCATTTTTCCCCACTGACTTCTCGCTTTTGTGATGAAATTTTGTGATAATCCGTCTTCTGTGTCTGCATCGGATTCGAAGATCTCTTTTTTAAGGTCTTTTAAAAGCTGAATGCCAAAACTGTTGGAGTTCCGTGATGGATTTTTACTTGCTTCTAAAAGTTCATCCCATCGTCTGTGAGAATGCGCAAAGTAATTGTAAATTCTTTGGATTATCGCAAAAAACACTTTAATCGAAGAACTCGCATTTTCTTCCGCAGCATGCACCAAAACCAAGTTTACTTGATGATTGATACAGTGAATATACGGAACAAATGTCTCATCGCCGACATATTCCTTCATTTTCGCTTGCAAACCACCTTCACGTCCTGACATTACCGCTGCACCGGCATAGGCCTGACCAGACAAATACTTCTTCTGGAAACCATATTTATCAAACAATATGGCGGTTATAACATTGCAAATAGATGTAGCATCCCCTTTTGTCAGTTGAACGAAGCACAAAAAACTCTCTTTGATACATATTGCAGACGCAGTTGAACCTTCATTCTGAATAACAAGGTATCGTAACAAAATAGCCATTTGGTCCAAGTGAGCAATATCCGTCGTTGAGTCAGCGATTAACGTGAAAAATTTGGCACCTTTACATTCATCAACAATAAACTTTCTGGTTTGATCAGCTAATGTACTGAGTAACTCATATGTTATTGTTTTACTTAAATATTTGATTCGTTCTGGCGATTCAAGATGCGCATGTAGAATAGGATTATGGCGAGAAATCAATTTAATGATACTCAAATAAATACCGGGATGCTCAACCTTTTGTAAATTTTCACGGTGACCACGAAAACCAACGCCCAAACCAGATAAAGTTTTCACAGTGTCAAAAAGTATATTCAAAATTGCGCGCCATTTCTTAGCTTCTTCGCTTATTTGTTGTTCGAGTTTATGACGAATATCATTTTTCTGGAGAAATGTTGCAGCAGCGACTGCATTGCTGAGATGGGCTTTACTTAAACTATGTTGTGTGACCGATTGATGACAATGTTTCCAGTCTGTGAAACCAACGTACCAAATGCTTTTTTTCGCAGTTTCATCGCCAAATAACCAACAGTAGTGACAATAAGCATAATTTTTTGTTGGTGAATAAGATAACCAGGGACTTATCTTCCATGAAAGGCTTTTTTTTGTTCTTATAATAAAATGAAGAGTTGAATCGACGTTTGTCACTCGATTGTTTGAATTCCCCGCCAGGCATATCACATTCTCTAGGCTGGCAAGGGCCTGTCAACAAAAGAGCTCTAATTTGATCCACATTCAAAGAAATCCCACTAGCATTATCATAAAGACCTTTATCATTCTCAAATTCAAAAATTTTTGGTGTTGATCCAGTAGGAAGCAGAGATGTTGTTGCTGGTCGATATACCTTTTCGTTTGATATATTCATAGACGTAGAATTTACGGGGTCACTTTCATTAAACTTTTCTGCAACGTAGCCTGTTCCACTGGACGTTGCAATGACAGGTTCATTATGAATCGTAGATTCGCCTTGACTGATCACAGGTTGATTGGTTGCTTCATTTACAGTCGCATCTTCACATTCGGCACTATCTTCATTTTGGTTTTTAGTAGAGATAACAGAACTACTTTGAAAGAATTTTCGGACTTTTGCTTGTCTTGGATTATTCGCTGCCTCTTCCATCTTCTATTTCTCTTTCTCTTTCCTCTTCATAAATCCACTCTTCGGTTTCTTATCCTTATCCATTATTTGTGAGGCCTTATTTCCACTTGCGATTAGTCGCGAAACTACAATATCCTCTGGAGTATATGGCACGCGACTGACGGTTCCGCGACTGACGGTTCCGCGACTGCCGGTTCCGCGCGGTTCAAACAAAAGAGTTTGTAGCCGCACGACACACATTGTTAGTCGCAAGTGGAAATAAGGGCTGAGAGCAGAGATGGGCAAAATTTTCATTTAAATAAATTTCGTATAACGAATGAAAGTTAAAAAAATTATTCGTCATGTGTCGAATAAAGTTGACTCGGGTTCGTTGCATAAAGTTAATTTTTTTATTCGTCGTACGTTTTAATTTTGGCGTCGAATAGATTTTTCAACTTCAACTTTAACTGCAACTTCAACTTTAACTTTAACC